CCACTTCCGAGAGGTGAGTGAATGGACTTAATTTAGAAATTATTCCCTTTTCAAGAAGGATTATGTGACACCTGAAGACTGGAGTACAGCTAAAATTTAATATTTGAAACTATATATAAGTTAATTGTTAGTTGAACTGTTTTCTGAAAGATTTTTGTACCATAACTAATTCTCTAATATTGCATTTTTGTCTCTGCAGCTCTCTGTCAGTGAAGTCTTTCAGGAGGTCACTCTTGGGGTTACTGTGAACGAGGCTTTACAGAAGCATGTGTTTGGAAACATGGACTTCATGCTGCAGAGGGAGTATGGGAAGGCCCGGGACAGTAGACAGGCAACATTCACACCATTATCTCTGTGAATATACAGCCTTGAAATAGAAATATGGTTAAAGATTTGTAGAAGGCTCTATGTAAAGAAAAAAAGCCCTACGGTGCATCTCAATATAACATATTAATCATTCATTGTGTCAAAGAAAGCTGAAGTACCTCTTGTAGGTGACATCTTTTAATGTTTATCGCATTCTTATAGTGTGTGTGGCAAAATATTTCTGATTTCTTTTTTAAATTCAGAATTAAATGTGATGACTCAAGTCAACACAACCAGACATTCAATACTGTATCATTGTAATTGTTATTATTGTATTGTGATTTTAACCTCTTAAGGCATGGAAATCAAAAGTGTACTGTAAACTCGAATCTAAACCTTTTACCCTGCATATTATTTGCATACCGCATGTTTTAAAAATAAATTATGTTGAAGAAAATAGATAACTTATATTTTTGTTGCTTATAATATTATTGTAGTTCTTTGTGCTTATATACAAGATACTTATGAAACCGTTTGTATCTTATGTCAGTTATTTGTTTTGTAGTCAATATATGACAATTATCATCCTTGCAACAAAAGTAGTCTTGAAAACAAGTTTGTGGTCCATTAATGCTTATAATAAATAATGATACTGGTTTTATGAGCTCAATGATATGTTTCTTTAAAGAGCTGATTCCAAAATGCGTAATGTTCTGATAAAACACTTACCTAAATATAGAGTGCTGGGTTCGATTTTGCTTTTACTACCTGCAGCACAGGGACAGCAAACCTGTGAGCAAATCAAAATCATTCATTTCTTTTATTATAAGATGTTGTGAAACAGTATTACATAAGGTTGCACATTTTATTATTGATCAACCGTTTCTTCAAGTCATTAACTTAATCTTCCTTTGCTGTTTTGGCAGTTAAAGACATACAGGCAGGATTTCCATTCACAGACTGGTCCATAGTTATCACATGAATTATTAGTTTTTAAAAAGATGCAGTGATGGGGGAAAAAACACAATTCCATAGGAATTTCTGCAGACAGGTCTGTGACTTGGTCCCATTGTGTTGCCTGAAAGGTTAAGATCCGCAGCAAGATGGATCATTATCAGAGACAGTCTTATGTTCTGAAATCAGACATTTTCTGAATGACCTGCTGCACGACCTCCAGACCCTGTGCCCACCTCACGGTCTCCTCCAGGTGAATGTTGAGTGGAACACAGAATGCCTCCTTCCTCAGTTCAGTCAACTGACAAACGGCTAATACGCTCGATACTCCCACAATTAGCAGGAGGAGGAGTTTTATGAGCAGAGAGAAGAACAGGGAGCAGATGGAGCGCTTGGCTTTGGGCACAGACTCTGACGCTGTCTTTTTACCTGTAGTGAAGGTAGTGTAATGCATACAATCAAAGCATCAAACAAAAATTATACTAACATTACTTTACAAACACTACAGTTCAAATGTTTGGGGTTTGTATGATATTTTTTAAAGAAATTAGTATTATTGTTCAAAAAGGACAGTAAAGACATTTATTGTTACGAAAAAATCTATTTAACATCAAGATTTTAATGTTTCTATGTCAATGTGGCGTTTTTTTAATATGCTTTAAGACAAACCATGTGCAAATTCATAAGTCAACACCATTGCTGAGTATTTTCTCATTAAAACTGCTGTGAAAAAAAAAAGTCTCAAAAACAGTTTGAATTTAAATCATAGGCTATATTAAATTACAGCTACTTGTCCAATGTAGTAAAGGACATATACATAAAACACACTACCAATCTGATAAATCAACTAGATGAGCCAGTATGACTGAGTGGAGGTGGGGCTCATTTGCATATTCATGGCTCTGCATGTTATATTGAAGCTATTTTAAGACATAAATATTTTTCACATGAAACTTATATATATATATATATATATATATATACATATATATATATATATATATATATATATATATGTTGTTCTGGTGATTTTTTTTTACAGGTTACAATTATTGACTGCAGGGGGACTTTAAAATAAATCCTGACAAATGTATAATGGTTTCCACAAAAACTGTTTTAAACATTAATAATAATAATAATAAGAAATGTTTCCAGAGCACAAAATCATCATATTCAAATGATTTCTGAAGGATCATGTGATAGTGAAGACTGAACTAATGGTACTGAAAATTTAGCCTTGCCATCACATGAATAAATTACATAATAATATTTCACAATATTATTTCAATAATATTTCACACATAAGAGAATTGTTTCAAAAATTGTACTGACCCCAAACTTTTGAACAGTAGAGTAGATTAAAAGGCTTCAGCATTATGAACATCAAGTATTGAGTATATGGTGTAAAGTGATGGAGTTTCATACCATGCAAGATTGTACCTTGATTTTGAGCAGCTCTCTTTTTCTTCTCTTCCTTCTTCTTTTTCTGTTGTTCTTGTGCAGCGAGTGCAGCCATCTGAGCTTGATACTCCTTTCTCTTCCTCTCTTTCTCTTCTGCCTTTTTCTTTTTCTGTGCTTCTTTTTCCCTGGCCTCCTTTTCCCTCTGCTTAGCTTCTCTTTTCATTTCTTGTTCTGTAAGGGAATAAAACTAATTATAAACTTAATACATAATTTTCATCATTAATAAAAAAACTTACAAATAAAATGTTTTAAAAACAAAGAAGAGTTATATGAAATGTGGAATAAATATATAGATAGATAGTAAATTATGTCTACGAAAGGCAAGTAGGGAGAGACAATTCTAAACTAAATTCGCCATGAAATGGAAGTTGTGATAGTCTTTTCTTCCATATTGTGATGTATATCTGAATGAAACGGCTTCTCAAACATGGAAAAAAAATAAAATAGTGTGGGACTTGATTTTGTCTATTCGGAATTGATTGGATAGTTGTGGTTTGCTATTGCTGTGATCTCATGTGAGTGACAGGTTGTCCCACCCTTGCACCAGTAAAGACATCATTAGAGAAGAGAATACTGGGAAGTCATTTTGATTGCACATTATGTGAGCACATGAATTAAAAAAAAAAAAAAAAAAAATGGGCACAGATGAATCATTTATAATAAATGCTGTAATATTCCATTTAAAAAAAAAAAAAAAAGAATGGTCAATTTTGATTTTATTGTCACTTTATTGTTGTGCTCAACTTAGAATGCTTAATATCATTTGTAATGAGGGAAAAAACTTAAACTAAGAAAAAAAGACTACAAAATACATTTAAAGCTGTAAAGCTCCCTACCTCTCTCTTTTAATAATCGACGTTCTCGTTCCTTGTCTGCTTCTTCCTGCAGTACCTTCATGTGCTGGAGAACCTGGACATAGATAGACAAAACCAAATACTTTGTGAATACTGTAGTAATGCATAATAATTTGTTCGTTTGGAATTGTTGCAAAACTTTGACTATGTGGTAAATAAGCTTGTTTTATAGTGTAAAATACTGATCTCTAACATTTTTGCATCTGAGCACTTTACTCACCCTGGATGCACACTGTTTGCATTGCTTCTCATCTAAGCAATCGCCTGCAGCCTTGGCCAGTGTTGACTCCAATGGGTTATCCTTCAGATCCAGCCATTTCAGACTCTACAACAGACAAATCTCCTCCATTACCAAATGATACTGATAAATACAACATAAGACAGTAAATGACATGATCTAATATTACAGTTTGAGGCCATGACATTCCGAATGCACCTTGAGTTGCGAGAAGCCGACGGGAAGCTGTTTCAGTTTATTGTTGTATAAATCCAGGTGCTGGAGATTAATGAGTTGTCCGATTTCTTCTGGTAAGCAGACGAGCTGGTTTTTGCTCAGGTCAATTTTGATAAGGTGAGTCAAGCTACAGAATTCAGGCTGGTGAGGTAACAAAAAAAAGCACAATTCATTAGCACAACTTTTTCATGGAAAAAAAATCTTGTTTTGTTGTTGTTTTTTTGTATTATTGTTTATTTACAGTTACTTACAGTCAGGGTCGTTAGATTATTACAGGACAGATCCAAAAACGTTGCCTTCGGAAAGGCAGCCTGCACAGAAAACAGTTATTTTAGTTACACACTTTGCCCACGTACATGCTGAATGAATACAATTAAGATAGGGAGGATTAAACCATTTTTCCCAAAAAAAGGTACAAGGTACACTCATGATAATTGGAAAGTTAAACTACTTACCAGCTCCTTGACTGGCACTTCTGTAAGGTTACTGAGACTCAAATCAAGCTCATTGCCATCAATTTTGTCTTTAATGTTTTCAACTTTGCCTTTAATCATGTTGATGTGCTGCTCCTCACTATACAATGAATACAAATATGCGTATGATCAGCTATCAATGCCTCTAACACATTCATGTGGAAACAAGTTTTGACAGCTTGACGGTAAGGGCAAAATAAGAGAGTATTCATTGTTAAAGTTGACGTAAAATAGCAGCTTTATGATATTATGTCTATTCGCAATTAATGAAAGTTTTTACCTTGGTACAGACGGTAAGAAACAGCCCAGACACACTGCAGTGTTGTAGTTGAATGCAGTGAGTTCACAAATATTTCGCACTTACAATGGGTGAAAATCCACGTCATTGCTCGCGCGCGTGCCAGGACAGGAGGCGCAGCCGAGTGACTGCGTGTCTCGTTTTGGATGAGCGGCTGCTGTGAGCGCCATCTGGCGTCTGGAGGTCATTGTCACTCGTGCTTGTTTGTAACATAGATATATGGTTTGTAGGCCACTAGGCCTGCTTTTGGTGAACGGGGAGAGGGGCAACACCAACGGTCAACACGGAAAACCGGTTATTAAAATGTTGTAATGTTTATTAAATAAGTATTTTATTCTCTCTCACCAGGGCAAAAAATAAGTCAATATTCAGAGGTCTTGGCATCAATATCATAATGTAAACACATTCCACTTTTAGATCCACTCCAGTCTCCATTACAGACATCTACCATATTAAACATAATTTTGGTTCCCTGCCAGAGAGAATGCATTCAGTTTGTGTCAGGTTTTTTCACAATGTTTTGGATATTCTCGTAAAGCATGCTTTATTTCACATATAAACACATTATAGTGTACAAAGCAACCAGTGATTAAAAATTACCACACGATAATTTGAAGTGTATGCTGCAGCTCTTTGTAGAATAACAGTATGCAGGAAGACAAAATGTATGTAATATTATATGCACTGATCTGAACATTTTAGATTTTAAATTACTCAACTTTCCACTCTCGAAATATGAAACCAAGAAAGAGAGAAATTGAGATGAGATAAACCACATAGAAAAGCCTGTTAATGTATTTGACCATTCCTAACCAGTACTTCTGACCAGTATGGCCTTTTAAAGTATGGGGAGGAAGAGTCTGTTTAATAGTCTGAAGCTCTTCCAGGATCATCTGCAATAAGTGCAAGTCATTCATTTTGTCTTTGCTGTATATTTCCTTCAACATCAGAGTCTCTAGAGGAGCCTCCACTAGAGAATAACAGATGTGATCACTGCTGTCTCCTTTGCATTTATCTGAAAGAAAAAAACATATAAGTCATATGAGAGTAAAGCCCGTTCAGTTTCCTTTTTGCAGTGAAAGATGAGCATTCATACCTGTTTCACAGTTGAGATCTTCAGGTCTCTGAACCAGCTTAGTGTCTTGTTCAGAGCTCATATTGATTAAGTATATCACCAAAATTGTCTCCAGAAGACTCAACAACATGAAGGAAAAGATGACAATGACATACGTAGCTGCAAAGAACAAAAGAGGGAGTTTATATGAAACTACAAAGACAATCTAAATGCACCTCTGATATATGAAAAGACTTCTCTGTTTTAAGGAATATTTCCTTGAACCGTGAATTCCCTTACCAATCAGAGGACATCTGTGAGATTTGGATGGCAGGATGTCATTTAGGATGAGCAAAAGTACAGAGATCCCCAGTAGTACCGTCACTTTGAAGCACAGTTTCTCCCCTCTATCTGGTATGAAAAAAGAAGCTAGGTCCAAAATGAGGAAAAACAATATTGGTAGCTGAAAATTGATGAAATGCATCAGGGGCATCCTTTTGACTGAAATCTAAAGAGGAAGAAGACAAAAAAGAGGTCAAACATGAGGCTATAATCTCTGGAATTGAAGAAGAAATGCTAAACTGTCAAAACGAGTATAAGTACCGTGTACTTTATCCTGTCAAAAGTTTGGCCCTCATAATTATCTTTGTCCATTGAGACGGATATGTTCAAGAATACCCATTCTCCTTGGGTTAATATGCTTTCCCGAGCTACCTGTGTTGCTTTTGATGAATTGGAGGCAGGAACCAGCTTTATTTCTTTATCTGTTTCACATAAAGGAAAGCAGCTTGGTACAGAGTGACAATGAATAGCCTGTCTCTAGGGATTTTTTGATGATGGAAAGCAACAACATTTTGATACAATTAAGATTTGTGATACATTATTTGGCAAGCAAGTAAAGATGCATGGTTAATCGTTAAAAGATCGCCATCTCGATTCAAACAACCACACAAGTACGATCACAGCAAAAGTTTATAGTTTGGATATTAACACTGATTTAACGGTAGCAGTCAAAGTAGAGTAAATCACTTTTGGAAAGTAGCATTGTTTCAAATAACGATTAAATCGATTACATCGTTATTACTCCACCATGTGGCGATAAGTGACTCTCAAAATAAAAATATATTTGTCATTGAATCATTCATTCAAGAGATTCACTCTGATTCGTCCAGTAGTGAAACAAGTGAAGTGTTTATTAGTGAGTCACTGAATCATTCATTCAAACGGATTTTTTTAAGTTAACTTAGAGTAATTAAATATTTTTAATAGACTTTTTCAGAAACTCTAGTAAATTACATGTAATTTTGTTTAGTTGATTGGTCAGAATCGTGGGAGAACCGTGATCTCTTTTTGGAACAATACAACAACAACAAAATTATGATTCTCATTTTATCCAGAAGTGTGCAAGGAAGTAAACACAAGTTTAAATACCCTAAAAGTATTCATCAGCAAATGATATTTGATTAGTCAGAACAATTGCTTGAACAATGAGCAATTGTGTGAACAATTTTTAAATGTATCTGTATTTACCAATAACCTAATAAATATATATTGGTCGATGTTGTACATTTAATGGTGCGTGCTAGATTTTAAAACACTTAGGCTATAGTTGCAACCTGTTAAATATAATCTTCAGCAAATATCAAAATGAATTTTTTTTCATACTGTACTTTACAATGATGCCTAAATTAACTTGTAGCATTTAAAATGATTAGTTTGATTTATTAGTGTGCTTTGTTTTTATTTATTTAGACTTTAATATTAATTCAATTATCGATTTATATCGAATTATCGATTATCTGCCAACCTGAAAATATTTATCATCTTATAGGCCAGATTTTAATATCACGCGTCCATAAGTGTACACTCACCTGAGTGATTAATTGAAGTCACTGTAATGTGGCAGGTTTGAGTATCAAAAGGAAATTTGTGCACATTCATTGTGCAGGTGCTGACAATTTTATGGTCCTCCTCCATTATCACATTTCCATCATGAGTGATAACCAAAAATGGGTTTAGTGGTCCATCCTCCTTCTCTGCACTGAAACATTGCAGGTGAAATGATTTTGTGTCAAAGCAAATCTACATACATCATACATTTTAGATTTTCCATGCAACATATATGTCCATACTTTAATTCCTCTCAATGTTATACGTATCATGTTATTAAGTATAATGTGTGTATTATATAAATTAAGAAAAAAACATTTATAGAGATATATCATTTGTATACTGTATACTCACGTCTCAAGAACATACAGGTCTGGTTTCCAAAGCATCTCTTTTGGTAAAGTCACATTTTTAATGCCACAGAACTCCTTAGGATCCCAATAGATTCGTTCATTGTTCCAGCTCTAAATGAGCAAGCATAAATAAATAAATACATATCTAGAGCTAATGAATATCCTTTAAGAAGCTAAATTATTTTAACCAGTATTTTTTCGATTATGCAATACAATCAGATTAGAATATTTGCAGATTTCTGTTTAACACTTACCACAGACATCCATAAAAGAGGTACAAAGATTTGAGATTTTTCAATCTGCAAAAAGTAAATTAAATGAATAAATAAAACTTCAAAACTTAAATCGTGGCAGTTTTACGCAGAACATTTGTAGTCTGTTTGCAGTCATACCATAGAAAGGATGCCGTATAGGTAAATATCAACATACACTACAGTGGGGTGTGTCCAGTCCAGTGCAGGACGGCAAGTTGTGAATTTCTCATTGCCTCTGGTGAGATTTAAGTATTCCAGCACATCTTGCTTACTGCATACTTGTTTAAGGTACACTCCATCTGCAAGCCAGTAAATATATTTTAGATGTAAATAACCAAAGTAGATGTCACATTTACAATTTAGCCATTGCAAACATGCTGCTTAGAATAACTGAGCATTGTCTGTGCACTAAATGGTGGAAGTGGAAGTGGAAGCTTTACTCACCTATTAGAAAAAGTAGACAGGTAACACAGACAAGGAAAGAACTCATATCCAAACTTTCAGTGAAGACCACCTCAGCAGATGACTGGCAACTGGTCCCAGTCACAGCCTGCGTTTATATAAAAGTGCAAGATCAAAATGGATGGAATATATATATGATAATGGACAGCACCATTCCCCTGAGCACCATAACACTTTTTGATGGGTTAATGAAGGCAATTTTTCCTCACAAATGTGACATTAATTCTGCTGTTATTGGTTTATGTTGGTGGAGGCCATCTTTGATTGAATTTGTGCTGAGAGGATGATGGACATGCTAAGAGCCGTAAGATGTGCTTTTATTTGACCATTTTGATCACAAAAATAACAATAACTTGTTGAATGCATTGAATATGGGCTGGAAATGGCTGAGATTTACTGGGATGACTCTAGTTGGGAATTTTATTATTATTATTATTTTATTATCATTATTTCAATGACTGTGATGATGAGCCTGGTCAATGACATCATCACTAGAGTGCCAGCCTAGTGCTATTTTGAATTTACTTGGTGTACTGATTGCATGAAAAGTTTATTATTTATTGTTTGTGTGGACAATATATATATGGATGGACAATACCAACATCGACTTGGTAATGTTTTGAAGGATAATAGAGAGCCATTGCCAGTTTTAAATTATTTCTTTATTGGGTAATTTTGCTAATTGTACTGTGTGTTAGATCTTATCTGTCTGAGTGTCTGATAGCCAGAACATACCGTGTTAAATGTTTGATTTTGTGATTGTATTTTGCTTGTTTACTTTGTATTATGATGACTGCATGTCAGAAATGAGTTTTGAACATGTACTTAGGTGACAATGTTCTGCTATAGACTTCTATGGTGAGTGGGGATTCTTGTGGATATGCCATTAGGCATTGTTCAGTGCCAGGTTTGCTGCTCACAGCATATTTTTGTGTGCTTTTAACACCAGTATAAGTTGCATCAAGTTTGTATTTTATTGTTGCTGTTTTTTTTGTACTCTATGTAGACTGCACCGTGTGAAATAAATCACAACTGGCATTGGGAAAACTACTCCATTGTATAATAGCCTTCCTAACTTCTCACAGGCCTCTCGCCAACATAACACACTACATGACAATGTACATATTCAGATGTATCTAAATATAAAATCTTCTATAATCTATGATAACATATTTCATGTTTCCTCCAAACAATTTTTTCTTGAGTATTATATATATGTGTATATGTAGGTGATTTACTTTTACAATACTCCAATCTTGTTTTTAAGAAAAGGTTTATTGTGTTTTCGACATTTTGTAATCTTCATTCTACAAAAGTGAATTGATGCAACCCATTCCTCATGTAGGTGTAGCTCACTCCTGGTGCAGAAAGAGGACAGAACAGAATCACAAAAGCAATACAGATGGCAAAACTGGAGTAAACCCCTTGAATACGTCCATGCTCAGTGCATGTTACACGACAGTGGTTTCTCTCTGCAGGTAAATGTGACATTTTGCTGTAAAACACTGCATGGCTACGTTTATCTGTATTGTCTCCAGACAACAACGTGCTATTATGCAGCTGTATTGCTTGTCTTGTGACTCAGTACCTGTTGCTTACATTACATGTAAGCTTAGTGTGGAAGGGCTAGACATATAGTGCAAATGAAAAGGTGGAGGATTTCTATTTTCTGACTGCAACTACCATGCGCTTACCACATGCACCACATATCTGCTGTCAAGGGAATATCTAATAGTGCATTTGTAATGTATACGATCCCATTTGGAGAAATTTCACACCATTCTATACTACAGTAAACAACATATTGAACAGACTTTTACAATGATAACAAGAACTAGGCTAATATAAAATAAAAAAAATAAAAATAAAAAATAAACATTTTCCACACAAAGGAAAAGCATTGTTGGTTCTCAAAGTACAGTGGACCTTTTGAGAGAGATACAATCACTATTTGATTGTACAGTGAATCCTTTCAAATAGTCCAGGCAAGTTCTAATGAATCAAGAAAACTAGATTAAAGAATTGTAGGAATGATGGTGAAGGGATAGTTCACCTAAAAATATAAAATTATTTTAATTTACTCACCCTCACGTCGTTCCAAATCTGTGCCTTTTTTTCTTCTGTGGAACATAAAAGATCACTTGAAAATTATGTTATTAAAATGAATGTCAGTACAGGGCCCTTTCAGAATTTTCATTTTTAGGTAAACCATCCCTTTCAGGATCTGAAAAGAGAGCCCAAAGATTTACATTAAATAAAATAACCACTAACATACCACTGGTGCAACAAAGTGAATTAGGTTTGGCAGAACTGTCAAAAAAAAAAAAAACTAAAAGTTGTTGAATGTTTTTCATGTAAGTGGCATGACTTTGACTTTTCAAAGTCTTTCATTCATTCTCACTGTATACTGACTGTCAAGTAAACACTTTCAAGGATCTCTATAGGAAAGTGCAACACTTTTCAAAAGGAATACATAACAAAAATTGCTTTTCAAGGAACTTCTATACCAAAGTACCTGCGATAGTAATCCATATGAGTCCAACGACACACCTGAAGAGCTACTTCAGCTTTGCTTCAAGTCAAACTGACTAACTGTAGCATATAGGCATATGCTAGATTGTACCTTAGACATGAAATAAACACATATTTTGTTAAACAACACACAAAAAGCTTGAAAGTAGCTTTGTGACATTTAACATACCATCAACATTAGCAATCTGAGGACATCACAGGCAAGTTTTAGGCAGCTCAGTAGCTTTGGGTCTTTGTAACATGCAGGGCTGTACGTCGAGCTCAAAGGGAGCTGCAGCAAACTGACAAGGGCAGAAACATGAGCAAATATGTGTTATTGCTCCAAGAAAATCTTGTGACGGATTGATTGACTTCATAATTGAAACTTGATGTACATTTTAAAAATTAATCTCTCCATTTTCCATCATTTTCTTTTGAAACATCTATCTTGGGTATTGTGGGCAGATCTCCAGGAGCACAAGTTAAAATATTCATACACATGTTCAGTGACATTACTGAGGAAAATCCCAAGGTATGTTGATTCAGATCAGCAGGATTCGATTATGAATTCATGGAGGTTCAAAGTGCTTGCTGCAATTATAAAGTGTCACAACAGTATAGTCGCACAGCCTTGACATGAAATTTGCCTGCTCTCTAAGAGAAAAACATTGCTTGGATCAGAGGTTGGAGTCTTTATCATGTCCTCATTCTCCAGTCTTTCATCGGGAGATTTGCTTCATCTCTACACATGAGGGGGTGGAGCGTTGGTGTAAATGTGGTGCTTTACACAAGTATCAACACCAAAAGAATGCTAAAAAGATAACATTTATCACAAATGAGAAGGGAAACCACGCAGTCAATCCTGCCCGGTTTGCATTTAGGATTTGATCCATGAGTAATTGGTGTGGGCATGAGTTTAGGCAGAGGTGGGATGAAGAAAGAGGCAAATATCCCTCTCAGGATTGGAGTAGGTCTGTGGATTGAGGATTTCACACAGCCAAGGGTCCACGATGAGGTTTGTTCTTGGAGTTTGCGGCCTCATTAGTGACCCCTTGCTCATCCAGGTTGATGTTGCTGGTGGACGCGTGGTGAGTCAAAGGATCCCGCCCATGACGATAGACGTCAAGGTATAATAAACCTAACAGACAGGACAGAGAAAGTCCATGTGAGAAGATACAGATGATAGCAGATAGCAGAAAAAAAAGAGGGCATGAAGGTAGTTGTGAAGGGTAAAATAATAATGGGTTTGTGGAAAAGTGATTTAGAAACAACTGAAATATAGAAGAACTAAAAGAATTAGACCTTTTCCCCCAAATTGGAGCATCTCGGAGATCAATTTTAAAATAAATCAGTCGGTTGGTCAAAATGTCCATCATGCAAATCAAGACACTTTTATCCATTGTTCTCCAAGATTTCTGTGAACTGAAATATCCTGTATTGAATATTCACCATGCATCTTGAGTAAATGATGAAAAGGCTCTTTTTAACCCAAAGAGGTCAAAAGGCAAAGAATCTCTAATAGTGAATGGCAGAAAGGCAGAAACTTCATTGTGAATCCATGACCTCTGTGCATTGCCTTTTAACTTGCTCCATACCTATTCCTCAATGTGAACAGGACACGAGTCCTCATCTGTCCATTCCACAGACATCCAGGAAGATAGAGAAAGAGAGATGGGAGATGATGGAAGGAAAAACAGAGACAGAAAAGAGAGAGAACACAGCACATTTACAGCACATCAAGAGATACAACCAGCCATCCACAGAAAATGAGAGTTGGATTGAGAGAGAGGAGAAGCTCGGTGCTTAGAAATAATGAGAGAAGATGATGATGGAGTCTTTTTGAGGAAAAAAAAAGCACTTTCACTAAAAACTTTTATCTTTAATCAACAGGAGGTTCAATGAAGTGTCTATTCAAATAAGTGATTTTCATTTTCTATAAATCCTATATTAAGCAGGACTTGATAATGGCCACATACATACAGTATATGGACACTTATTTGGCACTTGAAAGTGTATTGATTTCATTGCATAACATAAAATATCAAACCACATGACATACTTTTCATTCAAAACATTTCACAAAATTGGTTTCCAAACTGGCTTGTGGGAACCCCCAGAGGCCACACAAGTTCAGTAAAAATTAGTAAATACATGTAAAAAGATAAATAAATAAATGATTATATTATATTACAAATAGATAATTTATAAATAAAAGTATTAATTTACTGAATTTGACCTTTAAATTCATTTGTATATCATGAGATTTTTTTATCACAATTATTTTATTCCACTGAAAAAATTGTCAACTTAACAGAAAGTAAATATTTTAACATGTACACAAATTGATTAAATGATGTGTTTGTACAACATAAATGCAAAGCTACCTATATGTTTTATAAAGGGAGTCCTTTGCAGGGGATCATCATCATAATGTAATCAAATTCAGACACTTATGTGTGGCTTACGTGTCCACTTTTCGGCCAATTTTATATTTTCAACTGTGTAGTAGTCACGATGACTAAAAACATAATGATGATGTTGCTGATGCTTATGATTAATAGTGTGTAAGAATCACATTTTACTATCACAAATCTCATGTGAAAAGCTTCATTAATGTCCTTCCAGAGAGAATGCTTTCTCTGGATGACACTAACCAAGAGTTGGGGATTAATAGTATTTGCTGGCAAAAGAGGGAGGATGAGCAGAAAAATGAAGTGATGAACATAGAAATGAAGGGAGACGCAAAGCTACTTTGAGCTGGCAGACACTGAACATGAACTTAGCTATTATTAGTTTGACCCAGAGATAGAGAAACAAGTCATACATGATATAAACTCACACATACACATAAACACAAACAAAAGAGGGGGGTTAAAGGGCATGGCCACTGTACCAATTAAGGCTACACAAAATTACAGCAGGGTCAAAGAAAGGGCGTGCATGAGCAGAGAAAGCCAATAGTGTTTTAGAACCAGTTGCTTTTTTAAAGGGACATCTTGAAACCGCCTCACCCAATCCCTTCCAATCAGAAAGTCCATGTTCGAGAGGTTGCCACTCACCAGCGAATCGGCCGTCAGGAGGCTGCTCATTGTCCAGGCCTATCATACAGTGGGTGTCAGACTGCCCCTGATTGTTATTGTCAAACTCTGGACAAGGCACCTCGCTCCTCCTGCGCCCACCTGCAAGCGAGGTCAGAGGTCAAACAAGAGCAGCCGAGGCAGGGCAGAGCAGCCGAGTGGAGAACAGCAGTGAAGGGTCAGAGCAATAGGGTGCAGGATGCTACTCGGCAGCCATTTAGTGATGGCTGTGGTTGATGGATGCACACATACTCATGTGAAAGCAGAGCGGATGCAATCGGCACATGCACGAGAACACAACCGGTGAACTCTTTGACACTCATTTAGTAAGCATTCACCACATTAAATAAGAAACAGATGAAAAAATGTATATGCAAAAAGGGAATTAGTTACAATAGACAGAAAACTCTAAAAGCAAAACCTCAACCCTTTATATCAAAAGTTTTTTTTTTTAAATCAACAATTAGTTGTTTGAAAGAATTTGTAGTATTAGTACAGATGCACACTCATTATAAAAAATTAAATACATACAATAATAGATAGAAAGCTAGATACTGGACGTGTCTGTAAAATTCAAATGCCAAGTGTACTTGTATGTGGGCTGATTAAACACAACATATAAAAAATGAACTACATTCGCCTTAAATGAGTCATGTCATATTTATATTTGTAGTGAATGACCTTTGGCCCACCTGCAAACATAGGTTACTCATCAAGCAGGTGTGTGGGCAGAGTTAGAAGCTCTTGTCTTGTGGATGAAGAGCCACCTACATTGCAGTGTTTTTTCTCCTTAATCTAGTGTACAGTGTCTTGAATCGTGATAATTACAGCCAATAGCTGAAGTTGCAATTACCATGTTCTTTGGTGGGAGATGCACAATCTTCCTCAGTCACATCATTTCCCTGAAGACGAAAATACACAGTTGAATAAATAATAAAATAGAAAACAAATAGCTGGGTTTAAGATGGTTGGCTGTTTGAAAGTTTCACCTCTGAATCCTGTTCTTCAAGAATGGCAGCCACAAAGTTATGCCCTTTTGCCTCGTTGGGGATTTCCTGTGGACATATGTAAATATGGTCTCTGTAAGACACAAAATGATTTGCACAAACATCTCTTGGCATACATTTCTACATTTTTGTGCAATGGGGATTGAAGTTTTGGTTACAGTGATAACTTTTGACCTATGAAGTTCCATGCCTTCCCAATTTTTGTAATTTTTCACAAATTATAATTTCACAATGAATAATTTCTAGGCAAGGAAAGCTTACTTATATAGCACTTTTCATCCAAAATAGTGTATTACATTAAATTAAATAATAAATACAAATTTGAATGCCTTTATATTTTTTTGATTGCCTTTATATTTTAAACCAAAATTGAAATGCAGAAACAAACTATAGAGGTAAAATAAAAGAATCCAACTCAAGAGTGCAAAACTCACTCTACAAACATAAATGTAACTTTACTTCTTTAAAAACAATGTTTAGTTACATGTATGTTTGTAGAGTGAGTGTTGCACTCTT